GAAATTATCTGATAATATTACTTACCTTTTTCTTCAATGAGATAAAGTTTAATACAGTGAGTTCAGGTTTGCATGATCACTTATCTCATTTTTCTGTAGACAATCCTCAAAAGAGTGTATGATCTCCAAATGATTGAGTTTCACAAACATTATCTCTCTCTCTTTTTCGTTTCTGTCTTTCCTTTCCTCTTCTTTCCAGTTTTTTTAAATGTGTATTCATTTTAATTGAAAGGACAGATCTACAGAAAGAGGGAGAGGGAGAGAGAGAGAGAGAGAGAGAGAGAAGCTTGTATCTGCTGGTCACTTCCCAAATGACCACAACAGGTGGAGTTGAACTGATCTGAAGCCAGGAGTCAGTGCTTCCTTCTGGTCTCCCAGACTTGTGCAGGGTCCCAAGGCTTGGGGCCATCCTCTACTGCTTTCCCAGGCCACAAACAGGGAAACAGGGGGCTGAATGGGAAGTGGAATAGCCGGGGGACACACAAGTACCCATATAGGATCTTGTGCTTGGAGGTGGAGGATTAGCCAACATTGTGCTGGGCCCATTTTTTTTTCACATGAAAGAGTTATGCAGAGAGGCTAAGAGACAGAGATCTTTCATCTGCTTGTTCTCTGCCCAGATGGCTGAAATGGCCAGAGATGAGCTGATCCAAAGCCAGGAGGCAGGACATTCTCCCAAGTCTGTCATGTGAGTGAGGGGTCCTAGGATCTTGAGCTATCCTCTGCTGCTTTCCCAACTCATTAGCAGGAATCTGGACCAGAAGTGGGTCAGCCAGGGCAGGACCGGTGCCCATAAAGGATACCGATGCCACTGATAGAGGATTAGCTTGCTATGCCACTCTTCCGGCCCCTCCTATTTCTTTTCTTAAATCTTTCAGCTAGTGGTCCAAACTCATTTGCCTGCCTCCACTGTCCATTCTTTACCGTGAAGACATACATTTACCTGGAACAGCTTTGTTCACATCAATCTATTCTAGAACTATTAATGGCATACCAGCAACTACATAATGAAGTTCCATAATGGACTATAGTGCCCCATACATTAACCAAACTAAACAATTTCCTTTTCCTCAAAACATCTCTTTTTCTCTCTCTAAAAGACGTATCTATTTACTTTGAAAGAGTTACAGGGAGAGGAAGAGGTGTGTGTGTGTGTGGGTGTGAGAGAGAGAGAGAGAGAGATGGTCTGTCTACCAATTCACTCCATAAATGGCTGCAATGGCCAGGGCTGGCCAGGCTGAAGCTATGAGCTTCATCCAGGTCTCCTATGTGGGTGCAGGGGCCCAAACACTTGGGCCGTAGTCCACTGCCTTCCTGGGGACACCAGTAGGAAGTTGGATTGGAACTGAAACATCCAGGGCATGCACTAGTGCCCACATGGGATGGTATGGAAATTACATAGGCAGGGCTTTACTCATTGCCCCACAATGCCAACCACCTGAAAACCTCTCCTCTCCTACCTCAGCACAGAGCCACTAAAAAAGCACTTCCTGGGCTTGTAGGTAAGTGCAACTTGTGGCTCAAATCTTGCCAAAAGGCTGTGTGAGAAAATGACTTTAGCCGATAAGCCATGCCGCCAGGCCCTGTGTGAGAAAATGAGATGGACAAAGCCCACCTCACTTGTTTAAATGGATGCTGCTTGCCTGTACCTCCTGTTTTTTCCCTTCCATGAACTGAAATGAGGGTGTATTCATGATCTAGAATGGGACAAAAAACTGTCCTACTGTCTTAGGCCAGCTAGCCGTTTTTCAAGATATAATTTGCCTTGTTTTAAACCACTGTATTTTAGAATCACATTTAGGTCAACATATCCTTTACCTAAAGAGTCTTATCTATGGCGCTGTATTATATTGTACTATGTCTTGTGTACATATTTCATCTCTACCAGGAAATGAACTGCTCTTTGGTCTCTGCTTCCTGTCTTGCCTGCTACAGTTTATTCTCAGTAGCAGGGGCATCCTTTCATACTTTCAGAAAAATATTTATTTACTTATGTAATGGAAAGATAGAGAGATCTTCTATCACAGGTTCACTCCTCAAATGGCCACAAAAGCTGGAATTGGGTGAGGCTGAAATCAGGAGCCTGGAACTCCATCTGAATCTCTCATGTGAGTGGTAGAGGCCCAAGCATTTGGTTAATTTTCTGCTACTTTCCTAGGTGCATTAGTAAGGAGTAAGATTGGAAGCGGGGAAGCTGGGGGTTTGAACCCTTGCTTATAGGCATTGGCTTAATCTGAGCCTCCCTGCACCTACCCCCACCCCCCACCCCCACCCCCGCCCCAAAAAGCAAAAGGGAACTGGAACTCGGTCCAGGTCTCCCACATGAATCCTTTTAAGGCAACTTAGCCCAGGTTATTTGCTGAAAAGCCTTATTCAGTGAAACCTAAATCCTTCCACTAGTTTCTTCTGTCCTGCAGAACCAGTCTTTAGCCTCAGCTTCTCATATCTCTTCAACCTTAGCTTTCCACTCTCTCTCTGATATATACCCCTGCTCTCAAGACACAACACTTGCTTGCCATGCTGACATGCTCACCTCCCTGCCATTCCTCTCCCAGCTAGGACATTGTCCTTCTCTTGCCCCCTCTGCTTGTAACAGATATCAACATGTATCATTCTTTTCGCCTTGGATTCTTCACTCAACTGTCACTCTCCCAGGCTTTCTGTGATCAACCTCCTCAAAACTGAACTTCCCTCCTTGTCCCTGGCACATGATCTCATTTTCTTTTCTAATTTTCTCCCCAGCAAGTATCATCATTTAACATTATTGCATATTGACTTTCTGCACATGCTGGATGTCCGAGAATGTAAACTTTATGAGAACACAAGTTTATGTTTATGAGAACAGGGGTTTATGTTGACTACTATATTCTCAGAGCCCAGAAGAATGATACATTTATTTTTAAAAAAAAAAAAAAAAGCAGTCAATTAATGTTTACTGAATGAACAAAATCCTTGGGGCTAAATACTTTGTAGTTCCCTCAATGCCAAGTAGGTTGCCTTGCATACAATCAAGCACCCAGTAAATACTTGATGAATGAACTTTGATGGAAGACACTAATATGCAGTCTTCTTGCTTTTTTTAGCACTTCCTAGATATATGTAACTACATTACATTTCTGAACCTTTGGAGAAACACACAAGGTCAGAAAGAGGAGTTCTGCATGAACAGTGCCAAAAATGTAACAAAAAGATAGGACACAGTTTTGAACTTCTTTTCATTTGTGATTTTTTTTTAAAAAGGTTTATTTATTTTTATTGGAAAGGAATATTTACAGAGAGAAGGAAAGACACAGAAAGATCTTCCATCCACTGGTTCTTTCCCAAAATGAACACAATGCCCGGAGCTGAGCCAATCCAAAGCCAGGAGCTTCTTCAGGTCTCCTACATGGGTACAGGGTCCCAAGGCTCTGGTCCACCCCCCTCTGCTTCCCCAGGCCACAAGCAGGGAGCTGGATGGGAAGTAGAACAGTTGGGACATGCACAGGCAACCATATAGGAGCCCAGCACTTGGAGGTAGAAGATTACCCAATAGACCCATTGTGCCTGCACTTTGAATTCTAAATTTACCCAATTTGTTCTCTCTCTGTCTCTCTCTCTTTGAAGTCTACATTTTTATTTGAAAGGCAGATTTACAGAGAGTGTATGACAGAGAGGATAGAGAGAGAGAGAGAGATATCTTCCATCCCTTGGCTCACATCCCAAATGACTGCAATAGCCAGAGCTAAGCAGAGCTGAAGCCAGGAGCCAAGTGGTTGTTCCCAGTTTCCCATTTTGGTGCAGGAGCCCAGGGTCTTGGGTCACTCCCTACTGCCTTCCCAGGCATGATCAGTTAATAGCCTCCTGTGATGTTAGCACCTTCTATGGGAGTGCCAGGTGAGGTTTTTGGCTTCTCCATATCTAATCCATTTCCCTTTAGCAGTGCCTGGGAAAGCAGAGGAAGATTATGTAAGTGCCTGGGCCACTTCACCCATGTAGCAAACCTGGATGGAATTCTGGGCTCCTGGTTTCTGGCTGGACCAGTCCCAGCAGTTGCAGGCATTTGGAGAGTGAATGAATCCAAGATTCTATGTCCCTCTGTTTTTCTCTGCAGTTCTGCCTTTCATGTAAATGATTACATCTTCTAAAAATGCAACTTTCTCTAGTAGTGTCTCTGGATTAATTCAGGTGCCACCTCTTCAGTTATTTCTCTCCTGACACTTGTCTTTTGGTCAAGATGTTACTGTGTAGTTACAAAAGGGGAACAAGTCAGTTGAATAAGCTTGTGTCTCTGTGATGTTAAAAGTGCTTTAGGGTTGGGTTTAGTAGAGTGGATTACGCCTATGCTTGGGATTCCAGAATCCCATTTGTGAATGCCACTGTGAGACCCTAGTACTCTGCTTCTGTCCAACTTCTCGCTAACATGCCTCGGAAGCTATGGATGATGGCCAGAATGATTGGGTCCCTGTTGCCAATGGGGGATGTGAGGATGACATTCCTGGCTCTTGGCTTTTGCCTGGAGCATTGTTGATTGTTGAGTCATTTGGGGAGTGAACCAGACGATGAAAGATTCTTTTTGCCTTTCAAGTAATTAGATGCTTAAAAATAAAGTGTTCTAATTCAGCATCATCCTCCTAAGACAAAAGATCGTTTTCAGCAACATGCTTGGGGGCTACCATCTTGACTGTCTTCAAAGGAAACTAAATCAGAACCAGACTTTTCTTGTGCTAATGAAAGGGGTGGAGGAGAGGGGAGCAAGTGCAGCTGATAGCTCATTTGCCCTAAAGCAAATGCGTCAGCAGCATCCCTCCACACCTCTCCCTCCACCCGCAGTCAGAGGACTTCACACTCCACAGCCCGCCCGCCGGGTAAGCCATTCAGAGGGAAGCTGAGGGAGGCAAAGTGACAATGCAGACTCCGCCCCTGCCACCCTCTTGTCTAATCAGGGCAGGCAGGGTGGGGATTTTCCTGTGGGCCCCTCCTCCCCGGCCCGGGGTAATTCAGAGCCGCGCGCCCGGCGGGAACATAAGATGGCGGAGTAGCAAGGCTAAGCAATTGCCTTGAGTCTCCTGGCTGGCTTCGGTGCGGGTCTCCGCAGCAGCAACGATCGCTGAGCGAAGAGTGCCGACGGTCTTTGGCCAGGATGCCGAATATCAAAATCTTCAGCGGCAGCTCCCACCAAGACTTATCCCAGAAAATTGCTGACCGCCTGGGCCTGGAACTAGGCAAGGTAGTAACGAAGAAATTCAGCAATCAGGAGACCTGGTAAGGGCGAAGTTGGGTCCCCGATCGTATTTCACCTGTCCAGGCGGCGGGGTAGGGAGATGGGGCCGCCGTTTGAGCTCCGTTCGACTGGAGAGGAGAGGGAACAGGCTGCTCTGGTTGGCGCGCCGCGCGGGCTTGTTTCCGTTATTTTACCCCTCGCGGGAGGATCCTGTTCATTCTCTTGGTGCGGTGGGGTGGAGTCAAGATGAGGCTTGAGGCAAAGACGCTGAGTAAGATGGCAAGGATAGAACCCCCCAGTGCGGGAATACTGGCTTCCTAAAGCGGTGGGAATAGACTGACGCTTAGCGTTAGCCGCACAGACACGTGGCTCTGTCGATTTCCTTGTGGAGCCATCCAGCACTGCTGGCTTGCGTTCGCTTAGGCACTTGGTCTGGATGCACCGGAGAACCGAACTTACCTCATTCTGAGTCCCGCTGGTCTTTTTCCTACAATGTTAAGAATCTGCTTTTTCCATCCCCAACCATTTCAGTCTGGGTTGTTTCTAAGGGAAACTGTTGAGTGCCCTCAAATACTGTACTACGAACTTCCTTACATTGCTAAGCGTTGGCTTTTCTTGTCTTTGGAATTCTTTATCAGATAATTAGAGCCACACTAAAGCGAAATCTAATCAATCAGATGTGTGTCCGTAGTAGCCGCTTTCTCAGGGAACCCTACCTCTGGAATCGGACCTTTGACATTCCTCCTTGCAGCAAGTTCCACATCTAATACAAAAGCTAAGCGTGTTTCTTAGTAGCAGTCTATTCTTGATCCATCTACTAACCCTACTGCTACCTGGGGTAACTTGGGAACAATTTTACAACCGAATATTAAGATAGTTAAGGACGGATGAAATGGAAAACCTGATTTTAGTTTTCATTGTCTTGCCGGTAGAACTTTCTCTCTTGCTTCCACACACTACCTGCCTACTCCACCATCTTAGAGATCATTTGGTTACCTGATCATTTCAACTTCCTTTCCATTTAAGGTGAACTCCTGTGGTTCTAATACATGGGGCCTTGAAAAGGTTCAAGGAAATGGATTTAGTTCTATGAACTAAAGATTTTTATACCAAAATAAGATTGTATTTTAATACCATTTACCAGGAACTTTTGGAAGCACCCACTTGTGTAGTTTGTGCTTTGTCTGTACCCTATTCGTCAGATCAGCGCTCTTGACACTCTTACCCATGCAATCTTCTGTGAATGGGGCCGGTTTTAATCAAAGGATCAGTTCAATTTTCCTAACTGCTCTTCACTTTTTTCTTTACATCGATTTCCCAGTGTAATTTCTTTTGGAGACCCCTCCTATAGAAATAATGGATAGCTCCTTCCTGGTTTATTGTGCCACTGGTAGTGATGCAAGTTATAAGGCAAACACTGATGCCCTCTGTAACCAGGCAGCAGCTTGTGGCAGAGAGGATCACCAGCTGCTGCTTTAGCTTTGGATGCACTGGTTTCCCTTAATACAAAACAGGACCCAACTCTGGCAATATAGCTAAAGAACAAGAATATTTCATCTAGAGGTTTTCTTCAGTCCCTGTTAGAAAATTCTTTACTGAAAATATAAAATCTCTTGTTGATCTTTCGCTCCTCTACTTGATACAATACCCCACATGCTAGGCTGTGTTGGGATAAGTGGAGGAGTTTTGTATTGCTTGATTTCAGTGAAGCCCAACATGGATAATTGCTGACTGGTTAGATTTCTTTGCTTCTGACTTAATCATTAGCTTTTTGGTTCCTTAGAACCAAGATTTCTGCCTCAGAAATCTTACATATTTTTAAATATGTGTGTTATCTCGGGAGCTTTCCCTGCACTCATTCCACCCAAACTTGATTTTGCCACTCTGCAGAAACTAGAACTGCTCCTCCAGTAACTCCTGTTGGGATCTAAAAGTCGTGGACAGGGACTAGTGCAGTAGCAAAGTAGCCTGAGCCTCTGTTTGCTGTGTGGGCATCCCATATGGGCACCAAATTGTTTCAACTGTTCCATTTCCAATCTAGATTGCTGCTAATGTGCCTGGGAAAGCAGCAAAAAATGGCTTAAGTTCTTAGGACCCTGTACCCACTTAGGAGACCTGGAAGAAGCTCCAGGCTTCTGACTTCCGACTGAACCAGCTCTGGACACTGTGGTCATTTGGAAGTGAAACAGTAGATGAAATGTGTCTTTCTATGTTTTCTCTGTAGGTCTGCCTTTATAATTAAAAAAAAGATAAAATAAAAGCAATGTTTAAAAAGGTCATGGACAGGGCCCAGCGCGGTGGCCTAGCAGCTGAAGTCCTTGCCTTGAACACACCGGGATCCCATATGGGTGCCGGTTCTAATCCTGGTAGCTCCATTTCACAGCCAGCTCCCTGCTTGTAGCCTAGGAAAGCAGTCCAGGATGATCCAAAGCCTTGGGACTCTGAACCGGCATGGGAGACCCGGAAGAGGCTCCTGGCTCCTGGCTTTGGGTTGCCTCAACTCCAGCCATTGTGCTTACTTGGGGAGTGAATCATCAGATGGAAGATCTTCCTCTCTATCTCTCCTCTTCTCTATATATCTGACTTTCCAATAAAAATAAATAAATCTTAAAAAAAAGGTCATGGACAGAGAAACTCAGAGAGCTGTGGATCATCTGATGTAGAATTGCAGCGCACATTCTAAAATGGAAAACAAAGACATAAACAAATGAAAAACCAACTTTGCTGTTTGCTACAGTTGAACAGAAACTCAGGGCTTGATGCTGCCCTGAGCAGAGGAGCTGTCCTTCTGAAACCACAATTCTACTTGTCTTGTTGCCTATGGAAGAAACATTTATACTTGGGTGTGCATTGTTATGTGTGTAAGTATGCACAAAGATAGAGATTTAAAAGGCATTGAAATCAAAACCTGCATTTGAATCCTTAAGCTTTTTTACCTCAATTTTATCAGTCATGTAGGAAAAGGAGGGCTCCAAAAAAAATTCATGGAAAATGCGTGCTATAAAAAATTGATTTCAAATTGTTTTTTAAACCAAAATAAGCATGATTCAATTTTCCAGCTTTTTGAAATACTCTCCTATTTACCTACAGTTACTGAATGGATTAGGTGACATGAGAGTAAAGTTCTTAGAACCTTCTGTAACACATTCTAAATTGCAACAATAAATGTTAGCAAGAAGGGGTGCTGAGATGTGTCATATACGAGACCAAAAAAGACATCCTAATTCTGCCATCCAAGAGAGACAGAGAGGTGTTGCATCCTCAGATTTATACCTCAAATGGCCATAACAGAAAGGACTGGGAAAAGGCCACTCCAAAGCCAGGCGCTCCCATCAGGCTCACTCTTGTAGGTGGCAGAGAGCTAAACCCTTGAGCCCTTTGCTGCCTCCTGGGTGCCTGGCAGGAGGAACCCGGATCAGATGGCATAAAGGCAGGACTCCACCCAAGCCTGTCCCATGGAATGTGTACTCTCCTGCTGTGCTACAACATCCACCCTTTTACCTGGCCTTTAAGACTTGAATATACAAAATTTTTCTTGATCTGTTCTTAATATATATATATATTTATATATATTTAACATATATATTATATGTATATATACACATTTAATATATATGATTTATTTATTTTTATTGGAAAGTCAGATATACGGAGAGGAGGAGAGACAGAGCGGAAGGTATTCTGTCTGATGATTGACTCCCCAAATGGCCGCAATGGCTGGAGCTGAGCCATCCCAAAGCCAGGAGCCAGGAGCCTCTTCCGGGTCTCCCATGCCGGTTCAGAGTCCCAAGGCTTTGGATCACCCTGGACTGCTTTTCCAGGCCACAAGCAGGGAGCTGGCTGTGAAATGGAGCTACCAGGATTAGAACCGGCACCCATATGGGATCCCAACATGTTCAAGGTGAGGACTTTAGCTGCTAGTCTACCGTGGTGGGCCCCTAATCTGTTCTTTTCAATATTGGTTTGAAAATGCTTTTGTTTATTTGGTCATCCTGTCTTGGCTCAGAGGGGAAGACAAGCATTTGTTGCCTAGGGTTTTCTTAAGAATGTTAATCTTTGGTTAGTTAATCCCATCTATTTTGTACTTGCCAATATCTCTGGTGCCTTGTTCTTGGAGATTTGCTTGCTATTTTTTCTTTCTTTTTTAAGAATATCATTGGCCTTTTGTAGTTTACTTTTTCCTTTTTTTGTATTTAAATTTCAGTGCCAGTTGGATGTGTTTATGCCTGATGGTAGAGAAGAAGGCAAAGTCAGGCTAGTTTTCTCGCCCATTGAGTAGTCATGGCTGATCTTCCAGCATCTGCAAACTGGGAGAATGGAGGGCCCAATGCCATTTGGAGAACATTCAGCTATCTTGAGGCAGAGAGCAAGGAATGTTACTCTAAATTGCTGAATTTGGTCTTTCTGCCTAATAGACTGTGTTATGTGCAAATTTTAGGAGAAGACTGTTCTTTCCATCAATGATGGCTGTAGTTTGCCTATTGGTTTATTGTACTAAAGAGGAGCCGTAGTTGAGATTTTTAGATGATTCCTTGAATTGTTTATTAACAAAACTGGGTAAGAGTACTTCAAAAAATAATGGAAAAATTGAGTGAAGAGATGTTCTTTTTGGTGCCCACTTGGAAGTCTTCTGCGATTATCTCTCTGAATATGCTCTCTATGTGCCATTCTCAAGGCCATCTTAAATCCCAGTTACATGAATATTCCCCACACACTCTTTTTAAAGATTTATTTCTTTTTATCAGAAAGGCAGATCAGATTCACAGAGAAGGAGAAACAAACAGTCCTTCCATCTGCTGGTTTATTTCCAAAATGACCGCAATGCCCGGGGTTAAGCTGATCCGAAGCCAAGAACCAAGTGTTTCTTCTGGGTCTCCCACGTGAGTGCAGGGTCCCAAGGCTTTAGGACATCCTGTGCTGCTTTCCCAGGCCACAGCAGGGAGCTGGATAGAAAGTAGAGCATCTGGGACATGAACCAGAGCCCAAGTGGGAACCTGGCACTTGCAAGGCAAGGATTTAGCCATTGAGCATCACACCGGAC